ACCTCTCTCTCCTACAAACTCTCTATCTCTTCCTTAAGGGCCGTACCCCTCTCTCTCTACTCTCTGATTTTCTCTCTCTACTCTCTCTTTCCTAAAAAGACCCTAGGGGTATGCCCCAACATATACTCTCACTCTCTCATGATCTAATCTAAGAGTTAGGAAAATTAGGGTTTGAGACTATTATTTTGGAGTGAGGGTTTTGTAGAGATTTAAGGGTGACTATCTAGTTTGGCGGAAATTAGCTTTCCCGGTTCGAAATTGAAGCTAGACTGTTGATCACACGTTATTGAATGTGGTGACTCGGTGTGGGGTGTAAAAAGCCCGATTGAGGTAATCTCTGACATTTTTTCTTTTAATTGTTTGTTCTTTTGTTTTATATTATCAAGCACAGTATTAAGTTGTATGAATGACATTAAGTAGTTGAGATTTATTTTATTGATGTGTTATTTATTTTTGGAATTTCTATTGCCAAAATTATAAGAAGTGATTATTATTAAAAAAAAAATTGTATTTCCCCGACAAAAATTACATAGGTCGTTCCTTCAATTTTGTGTCCGGTCAACGTCCTGCAACTCAGAACTTATGACAATTAACAAGGACTCTACTTCCTACAATTACTATTTAAGACTACGGACAACTAATGAAATTTCCTCCCAACAAAGCAAGCAAAACAACTTTATGAAATAGCAGTATATAACATCTTGTGTAAAGCGTTCTGGTCAAATTAGATATAGACAGGCTAAAAACATCCTTAAAATAACACATTTTTAAATTTTAAAAAAAAAATTCACATTTATGATCAACTGGGCTTAGATTATATATGCCTAAAATTTTAGATAAAAATTACATCTTTCAAGTAAATTTTAAAGATGGCCTCATGTGCACATATGAGTCAGTGACCTATAAACCACATCTTATAATTTATACCAAAAAGTAAATAGTCTTATTGACTTGGCCAAGTCCCTAATATTGCACTAGAGAGAGGCCTGAGGAAGGTAGTCCCTCAGAGAGAATGAGAGACCAAATGTTCCTAAGGGCTTAAGTGTTGAGATAATGATTACATTGGAGAAAACAAAAGGATGTGGGGACGGAGAGAGGATACTTGCCGGTAAAAGTAAGTTAGAGTTAATAGAAACAAAATTCAAACAAGATAGAAAAATGCGATCTTTTTTTTTTATCTTGTTTGA